TGGCGTTCCTCGCAATAGATTCTCTATCTCTGGAGTCGGAATTCTGCAGCATCGATTGGACCTACAGCGGAGCGAAGCGTTTCACGTTTCGCTTTTTTCAAAATCCCACCAGACTCTGATGCAAATCGTCCACTCGGGCTTCTGACGGCAAATCCACCGATAACATCACTGATCTTCCAAGATTCTCATTTAAATACTTCTGCCCCCCTATTGTAGAGGCAAGGTGTCGATACCTGTTGCCGGTGCCAGGGATCGAACCCGGGACCTCTGTAAACCTACCTTGATACAGTTAGACGATTAACAACAGAGACATGCTTTGGTCTAAAGGGATCTCTCATGGAAAAAGCAGGCTCGTGACGATGATCCTTGTGCTCTACAATAATCTCCTCCGATCTGATCATCGATATCGCAGGAGAGACCTCCTCCTCTTCCTACACGTACTGATCAGCGGTCGGGTCATCACTATAACTGGTCAAATTGTTATCGTTCATCTCATCACAAGGCGTCCAGGACACTATCTAGAATATAAAAATCGCAATGAGTTTGCTACACAGATCAACCCCGTTGAATTGGCTCTTGAGTTCTTGACCGGTGGGTGGGAAAATATTCACTTGGTCAACTACATCTGTTGATAACATCATAAAAATTGAAGGAAATTCCTATTTTCTTTCTGCACACTTCTACCCGAATTCGTGCGTGAACTCTCATAATTAGTGAGGAAACTCCCCAGCCCAGCTGAGAAAAGCAAACACATATTCCAACACTGTATAGTGGTGATACATATTCATATCAAGAACCCGAGTTCGATTCCCACACATGTCATTTATTATCACCCACCGAGCACTCAACCTCCCCATCTATCGCTATCATAGCAACTTCATTATCATCATTTTCAGCATCAACTCGACCCAACGTAAAGACCACGATCTGGCTGCTCTTGGGCGCGATCACACCCTCCTAAGAAGAGCATCCGATCAACTTCTACTCACACACTGATCACTTCTGGCCGGACGACCATCCTGCTGGACCCGCCATCAGGTTGCAGCAAACCGCGAAGATCCCACCTAACATGAGGTCAACTGCGACGTAGTGGTTGGTGCTTGTTCATGTCACCTGTAGTGCATGACCATATCCTCGGTGTAGTTCACCAGTACTGTTATACGATGGACCGTCGCACCTACGGAAATTAGCCCCACTATTATACGCTCTTGTGCACAATGTAGTTTCATCCGAGATATGAAGAATATATTTCACGACTACTACATAGCGCGAATATCACGTTTTCCCCGAGTATTACAATACGGGTGGAACTCGAGCGTACTAGATTAACAATATCGATGTTGGACTTTCACTCGTTCAACGTGAAGTGGTATAACACTCTATATAAATCATAAGACGTATATTTTTCCGCGACCCATAAATGCGAAATGTGGAATGTGGAATATGTTTTTCATATCACGGGTGAGACCCCGATGAATATCTATAGATATGAATAACTGCGTAATAAATTATGAGGAGGCAACTCACCCGCTTTGACGTGGCCAAAGTCGAGATACTCTACCGAAAGAGCCGCCCCATGCGTATGAACACGACTGAAGGCTTGCAGTGGGAGGGAAGGGGAGAAGACACTACTTGACGATGTAAGAGAACTTCTCTGGAAAAAATTGCAAGTTCATATACCATCACTGCTGAGGTCTCACCCGTCGCGGGTCAAAGGCCGGCATAACGAGAGTAAAAGCAAGCTCTTCCTTGACGAGTACAGCTTCTGGGGTATCTTCTACTAATTCTATGGAAACCTATCATTAAGGTAGTTGATTATTTCAATTATCATTCCATAAAAAATCTAGTTTGGTAACAAGAGGCCACATAAAATCAGCAGAGATAACCGATACCCTTTCAAAATTGACTAAGCGTTTATTCTCCACTAGCACTATTCTCCCAATATACCTGAGCATGATACTCTATAGCTTCCACCGGGCAGAAGAGGATGTCCAAATAAGTGCTTGCCTATAGTAGCAATAACAGTGAGCCTATCATAGGTCATCAGCTCACATTCGGCTTGAGTATACCCGAGGACGGACGAATCTCGAGGACTTTGAAATTATAGTTGGTCTTGTTGAACTCTTCAATGCAATTCGAGCGGATTCGCCAAGTCGCCGGTGAACCTGACGATTCCTTCCCAGCCGCAACAGTGTCTCCTACATCACCTCCGATGTTCGAAAGCTCAACTGTTTGCAGGCATGTGCCTCGACCGATCGGCACTGGTACGAGGCTGAGGCATGCGCTCCCTGGTGACCGCCAGCCTCGCCTTACATTATGTTCTCCTGTCTAACGCTGAGTTTCGGAACTCCCCTCGGCAATGTAGTTCCCGTTAAGAAGAGTCGCAAAAGCTTGCCGTGTTCGAGTTGAAGTACAACAGGGATGACGTGCGTTCCGACATACGCGAACCGATATGTGAATTTCAGATGGACGCTTTTGCCGGGTTCAATGACACTCCGACGAGGCCGTACATCGAT